TTTATCCTGTAATTTCATACCTTTTGTGCATAGTTAAGGCATGCAGAAAAAGAATTGCCGTTAAAGAGCTTGGGAAAATGTTGCAAACAAAGTGTTGTTAAGTTGATAAGTTACACTTATGAACATTATGCTTGTAATGTTGCTATAATTGCAATGTGTATATAACTACAGTTTGCAATAATTAAACATTTAATGCAGTAAAAGGACATAAATCTTTGCCACATGAATCTGAAATTTTTGAGAAAAGCTGCTGCAAAGCATTTTTTTTAGCCACAGTAATCACAAAAGAAATTCCATAGGGAGTGACTAATTCCTCTGCCATGTTCGACAGCTGGTCACTAATGCCGTCTGTCTGCGGTCTGGTGCTCAGTAAGTTGTGCACAGAGGTTTTATCAGAGCTCTTTGACTAAAACGGCTTCCTGCTGTGTCTGGAAACATGATTGATGAGAGCATCAGGTTTACATTCATCCAAAACAATGAGCTGAAAGAAACCGAAACATTTTGACACGCTCATCTTTGTTCTTAAACGCTTGCATAACACATATTGATTACTTCAGCTTTAAGGGCTGGGTGGGAGAGGGTAGTCTGACCGTTCTGTGCTTGGAGAACCTTTTTCCTCTGTCAAAAGCTCTCAGAGACAAACATATTAAGTCTTACTCATAAGAATCTGACAACATGCTGAGTTCACATGCACCTGATGAAGTGATAACTCAAACTGTGTGCTGTTTTGACAGCATGTTTTCACAGTGCAAAACAATGAGATCCTGCGTATTTGTGTGTACTAAACTTTAGACTCTTACGTGTAAATAAAGTTGATCTGTAACAGGCTTTGTGGTGCAAACAATAGCACGTTAGATTTCTAGTCAAACACTTGAGATGCGATTCAAAGTTTGTGGGTTTAAGACCCACCGGTCGGGTTTTTGTTGTTTACAGATGTGGTTTGTACTGGGAAATATCATCTTTTGGTGTGGTATGATATCTTTAATCTGCACACGTTTTTTTTGTTTGTTTGTATTTTGTTTTAGGTTTTTTTTTTTAAAGTAGTTGGTCGTCTGCTAATTAGAGGGTCAGAGGCTCGATTTCCTGGCTCCTCCAGTCTGCACGTCGAAGTGTCCTTGGGCAAGATGGTGATAAGAGTAGAAAAGCAAGAAATAAATATTATTTACTTAGTAATGTCAGTGAACTCTAATTGCCACAACTTTGGATTATTTATGAAGATTTGGGAAACCTAATTCTGTTGTATGTGTTCCCATTTCTCAGTTTAATAAGGATATCTTTCCCACGTTTGAGTTGAACCAAGAGGCACTGAAAAAGTTTGTAATTCAAGACCCAAAGTGCTTATTGTTGAGACAAGTACACATTTGCTTGTCCTGAAATGCCACAGCTGTGTTTAGCTAACCACAGCGAGTGAGTCCTTAAAAGACGCCACATGAGATGAGGCTGCTATTTCATAGAGTTTGCTGGTTCAGTTGAGGCTTTGTGGGTCACTTTTCTTAGTATTGCCGTCTAACTCTTCTTTCTGGATCAAGACCAAAGTGGTTTGCGAACAGACAATGCTAAAAACGTCCTCTGTGTGCTATATTTACAGTTGTATTTATGGCATAGAGGATGTTTACACAAGTCCCGGTTTGACGCTAAAAAGGAGCAGTTAGATTACGAATGTGAACATCAAATCTTCATATTCATAAGCTCTTACAGCTAAAAGGATCTAGTTTGGAATTATCCCATTTCAAACATGCTAAACCACATCTGCTATCGTTAATCCCTTGCAACTCATCGACACACAGACACATCGCAGCCTCTCTAATTAAAAGTCAACCACAGTTCCCATGACATGACTATGGTGGGGGAACTCCAGCGATTTACAGGAAGAATCGTAAAACTGTAAACCAGACTATAACAGGAAACTATGGGCATTAACCTACACTTAGCGACTCCTTCGTCAGCTAATATAACTACAGAACTGAACTTACTCATCCTCTTAGCTGTGTTGGCCTGTGGCTCGTAAAATAACCATCAGCATAAAATCCTTTTGAATCTTTCCAAAGACTAATTACACGTGGCAGCGATCCTACTGAAAATTAGATCATCGATATCTGGCAGATGGTAGAGAACTGTGGAAATCAAGTCAAGTCCAATAAACAGTCAAGGACTTCTGCACAGTAGAGCTACTGTATATGTGACAGGGGTGGGGGTGCTTGTGTTTGGCCCACCATTTTCCAGCCTCCCTGTATTGCATCAGTAGCAAGCGGTGAGATGCGGTCCATTACTCTTCCTCTGTTAACAAGCATCTGGACCAGGTTCCAGGCAATCGGCTGCCACACAGCAACTGGCTGTTTGCTGCAAGGGTGGCCTAAATGCCTGGAGTAATGAATCAGCTCTGAGTGTCGCAACACTCGTTGCAGAATTACACTCTAAGATATTTGACTGAAGTCTGCTGACAAGGAACGCTGGACTGTGTTTGTTTTGGTTTTTACTCCATCCAAAACCTTCCCTTCTGGTCACTGTGGCCTATTTGTTGTTAATGATTGGACACAAAATGGAAATGAGGGAATAACATTGAGAGAATGAGACATTCAGCGTGGCAAGTTGTCACACCAGCTGAGGCACAATCAATCCTGACTCAGTTCAGCCGACATGGTAAAATGTGCTAAGTGCTGTCTTTAAAAGGCCAAGTCCATCATTTTTACACATCAAAATCTGTTTATAGATTGTGTTTAGGGCCTTTTAGGGAGTTGGGGTAAATCTACTTGAGTCAACCTCTGTTTGATCTCCAAACAGCGCAGCGTTAGTTCAGGCAGGTCTCAAAGTCGAGCTCGGCTGCACTCCGGGCTCAGCAGCTCATCTCATTACCAGCCCACATTAGCTGATGGCTCAGCTGATACCCTTCTACATAACCAATTGGTAAATCTTTTCAAGGGCACACTGTTTATTGTGCTTTAGTCTGTCCCATACTAGGTGCAGATCTGCCTCTTTTTAGACAGCTTCCACCCCAGTTCCTCCTTTTCATGGTGTATCTGACTTGATCAAAGTAAATCTGCTCTCATTGATGCCTGTTGGGTCTTGCCATTGCTCTCACCACCTTTTTCTTTCCACCCATGTTTGCATAAAGAATGAGAGGTCCTAGGCTAGAGCCGTGCTGCTCAATATAAATTACTATAAGTAAAAAACGTCTTCTGTTGATTAGTGTTTCAGACTGAAACAGGCTCACAAGTCCTCTTTAGCAGCATGAGTGGTACATCATCCTTTATCAACACAACACATGAATGTTTAATGAATTGTCAGTTCAAGGTGATACAAGTATTGTATTTTTATAAGAAACATTCATTAGACAATATGAGCGTTCCAGTTCTGTTTTTTGTTTGTTTGTTTCTAAACAGTCTTCTGCATGTTGTGTAGTGGTCAGAAATGAAACAGGTTTTTCTTTTAAAATGAAAGTAAAAAAACAAATCATTAAACCCAACAGCCAGGACACTAAACACCATAAAATCCAAGGACCTCCAGTGTTACAGACAGTTTTGGTGAAAATAATCCCCAGTTTGATCAAGATTTAGTTTTGTGAGTCCTTAAGTTTAGAGTAATGCTTCTCATGAGAGAAGCATCTTTGGAAATTTGTTTGTGAAGGAAACTCTGCTGAGGCAATGGCCGAGCGATGAACCAGTGGTTGATGGGTGAATGCCATGGAAGATGTGGTGAGGCTTGAGTGTAAGAGATGGAATATCTCTTTTCAAATGCACAGATCATCACACGTCTCGTTCCGGAGCAGTGACTTTTTGTAGCTTTTCCATTTCATGCTGTATCGTGCGTTAATATTTTTAAATTTCAGGCTATTATATTTTATTTTTTGCTCTACAACATTTATCTGTCTGGTTCACAGCCCTTTTGACTATAGATTTCTGTATAGTAGGCCTTTTTTTTTATGTCAGCGCTGTCCTTGAGCAGTAAATCCCCACCCACCTGTTGTTTTAGCGCTCTGTCTGCAAAAGACAGCCAGTCAGAAGACAGATAAGTTAAGGGCAGATAGGCTAGAACAACTTGTTTCAGACACTAGATGAACAAAGGGGCTGCACCAAGCCCCAGGATAAGATAAATAAGGATTATTATTGAAATGTGACTTATGCAAAGCTGTTCTGCTAGATTCCAATAATAAAATTATGGAGCCGCAAAGAGCTTTAACTCTAGCTTCAGCAGTAGCTTTTGCAGCTAACTGACCTTGTTTCTTTTCAAGACTTGTGTCGTAGTTAGGCAAGAAAACTAGGGTACATCTACTTGAATGTAATTCTTCAGGTTTTAAAGAATTGCATGTTTTTTCGATCATAAAAGATTCAAGTACTTTTCATAAGTCTGAGAATTGTTTCAAAAAGTGTTTTGTATTTGCGATTTGTATGCTGTTTTTGTTTTATTAAATTTATGTATTTTTTATGATGACTCATTTGGGTTTGGTTTTTGTCTCCCACAGTACTGGAGTGATGACTGACCACGCAACACTTTGGAACAAATGACTGAAGTCTACACATTCAGAAGGTGCCAGCAGTTGCACATGAATCTAATTTGATTACCTTTGAATGCGAAAAGATGCTGCAGAGGGTTTTATCTACAATGGGGTCTTAAAATTGCTCCAAGATAATCGACTTCAACGATTTTACTGGCAGGATCTCTTGGTGGGAGTCTGTGAGTGGGGGCTGGCATGTGGCCCCCTGATCTCGGGCCTCCAGATGTGACTCTTCCTGGATTTGGGAGTGTGTTTGAGGATGCTGAGGATCTTCAGGCGCCGCTGTCTTCTGGTGGCTTCTGCCAGCCGTCGATCCATTCGGGAGGCCTGTGCTGTCTTCCCAGGACCTCACTGTCGCTCTCCTCGCTTGGGCGTGACCTCACCTCCCTGCTCAACTGTAAGACAGCCGGATCCCACGTAGAAAAGACTGTGGAGGACTTTGCAACCACAGCTCACACAGACACCCAAAACAGCACTCAGAGGTTTAGCTGCTACCCTCAGCCTTCCTTCCCAATTTCCTACATGCTCACCAGCTGTGCCACATCTTCATCTTTCGCCTCGCCACCTTCCTCACTGTCTTCTGCCTCCTCATCTTTACTTTTTGCATCTTGCTTGCCTCTTTCTGATGCCAACAATAAATTGTCTCAACAACAACAAAAGCCACAGGAGGAATATTGCTCCGTAAAACAAGAACCTGCAGATGATTTCTTGCCATGTAAGAGGGAACGGTTTCAAATTAGCAACCAGCAGGGGGAGCTGTACCATTTAAATCAGGCTTTTCAAGGATACAGCAATCAGGACAGCACACAGTCCTCTCTTCAGTCCCCCATGATTAACGTACCTGTGGGACAGGACCCCACGCTTGACCAGCAGGAGCAACCGTGTCATTGGATTGACTGCAGTGCCACTTATAGCACCCAGGAGGAGCTAGTGAGGCACATCGAGAAAGTGCACATCGACCAGAGAAAAGGGGAGGAGTTTGCATGTTTCTGGACTGGCTGCGTGCGACGCCACAAACCGTTCAATGCTCGCTACAAGCTGCTTATCCACATGAGGGTCCATTCTGGAGAAAAACCCAACAAGTGCATGGTGAGTTTGCTTTAGTCGACAGTTAAATGACAGAATAAATGGATAACCGAGTCAGAACGGAACGTTTAAAAAAAATAAATCAATAAAATCTGAGGTTACTGAGAGAAGACACAAACTACTTCTCAAACTGCAAAACAGAAATCTCTTGGAAGAGTTTTCCCCGTTAAGGAATTTATACAACAGTAGTTTATTAGAACAATGCGGCAACTATTTAATTTAGCAATAACAGTAATATTCTTAGTAGTACCTTGTTCAATGGAAGGGGTTTTAAGCATCAAAACATAAAATCAGTACTTTGTGTCCATTAATGCTTTAAAAGGGACCTGTTATACTTATTTCTAACTTCATGTTTTCTAGTAGACCCACTTGACATGATTCCCAGGTCAAAATAACCATTCTTTGTCATCCTTTATCTGAAACAAGTCTTTTAGTTCTCTTCCCCTTCCCTT